AAGGTAATGATCCTTATCTAATTTTGGCTTGAAATCCGAAAAATCTGCCATCTGACGAACCAACTCGTCGAGTCAGGGCAAGGACTCGTCGAGTCCATCTTAGGACTCATCGAGTTCTGCACTCAGAAGCCAAAAATCGATTTTTGTTCCAGCTTTGAAAAACACAATAACATCAAATATAACAGAAAAACACCCTAAGCTCCGATACCACTGATGGGCTTTGAGCATTACAACATTCCTATGGTACACATGCAACCCTAATTGCTTTGGATCTAGGTTTTTCTCAAGTTATACATGCAAATCAATTATCCAAAGCAAGAACCCTAATCTAGCATACAATTTTTGGATTTAACAAATAAACTAGGGTTAGAAGAATACCTTTCTTGTTGATAGCTTGATCTTGACCTTCAAGAGTTTAGTGCCTCAATTGCTGCACCCCTAATGGAGTCACAAACACCACAAGCAAAAGATGAACAAGAGAGAGAGGATGAAGGCTATCAATTTTCGGCTAGGGTTCTTCTCTAAAGCATAGGGCCGAAAACTGGTAGCCAATGGGTTCTTATATAGTTGAGCTGCTACTAGGGTTTTCAACTGGAAACCCTAATTCCCTTTCTTAGGCCTTAAGCAACACATGGAATCCCCACATGAAAGGCCTTTAGATGAAATCTTTATGGACTCTCATAGAGTTTTCGTCCACCCCTTACCAATAGGGTCCATTAGCCCAAACTACAACTATTACTGATTTACATAATCAGTCCCCGTTCTTTTAATCAGTCTCTTTTGATCACTAAATTAATTCCAAATTAATTTCTGATCAATACTAATTAAATAATATGATTTGTCAATTAATATATTATTCTTATAATATATTAATAAATCATTTATCAACCTCTTTCTCATAATTCATCCTGTCAAGTTGCTATGGTGAAGGTAACCCAAAAGGACCATGCTACTATCGGTCAAGTACATATCAATTATAGTTTTGGGCTTAGACACCTAATCCAATAGGAACATCCCTTGGATAGGCATTTTTTGGCTTTCATCATCGTAACGATTCCATACCTTACTCTACTCTTATCGTGGTACACCACGAATGGTTCTCTCCCAGGGGAATTGATGTGCACCATCTTCCTTCCACATAATATCTCCGTGAGGTTTTCACTTAACCAATCGATGCCAATAATTATGTCGAACTCACTTACATCGAAAGGTAATAGCTTTCTATAAAATTCGTTTCCTTTCAAGTCAATGGTTATGGTTTCTATCTTATTGCTAACAGATACATTCCTACCACCAACTACTTATACTAAAATATGGGTATTTAGTCTAAGTGGTGATAACTTAAGTTTTCTGCCACGATATAAAGGAGTGATCTGCTCATGAATCGAATAAAATCTTAGCAGGAATTTGATTCACTAGGGATGTACCTGAAGCGACATCAATCTCATCCTTTGCTTCATTAAGGGTAATCTGCTAGCTTCTACCCTTGGGCTTTGTTGGCATGATCCTTGGGGTTGGCTTTTCAGCATTTGGGAACTCTGCCTTTATGTACCCTTCTTCCCTGCAGGTGAACCAAACTTTTCCTTTCACTAGGAAGTTTTTAGAGATATGCATCGACATATTGCATTTGTAGCAGACAAAACAATCACCAAAATTCTTTTTCTTACACTGGTCGCACCACTTCCCTTCTGGGTTGCTCCCATACTTGTGGCTTAACTTCGAAAACTTCTTATTTTTCTTGCTGTTGTTGTTTCCTAAGGACCCATCAACTTTCCTCTTTCACCGACTTTGGCTCTGTCAGAGGACTTCTTCTTTATCATACGCTCCACAAACGTTTCAACCCAGATAGCTGCTTCAAAAGTCGGTGCCTGCTTGACCATCACATAATACTCCTATGGAAATCCCTTGGAGTACCTATCAATCATGGCCAGTTCGTCGGGGACCACACGCAGTGCAAACTCCATTTTATCTGTGAAAGCATTGGTGTACTCATCAACCGTCATGCTTCCTTTTTCAATGTTAGTAGTTGATTCTCCAACTCCAACATATCCTCAGCCTAACAAAATTTTCTCATGAATTGGGTCAAAAACTCTTTCCACGTCAGTTGCAACGACTTGTTAGGGCTTAACGTTTTCCCCAACGTATTCAACCAACAGATCGCTACACCCTTAATATGTATCACAATATAGGTGGGTTGAATCTTCCCAGTGCAACCACATGTGACGAAAGCTAGCTCTATTTCTGAGATCCAGTCCATTAATCCCATTGGATCCTCCTTCCTGTTAAATTATGTCAGCTTGCAAGTCATGAAATCTTTATACTTGCAATAGCCCTTAGGTTCATCATTCCTTCAGATCTCTGAGTCTTCCGGAGGAGGGAGTGGTCCTTGATGACTTTCTGAGTCATCATTTCCTTCCTGGACCGTCATTGGACAAGAGGGAACCGGTCCATTATTAACTTGCTCAATGAATATTGGTTCATTTACCACTGGTACTCCGCCTCTAGCAATTGCTAGCTCTCGAGTTAGGAAATTCGTAAACTCAAGTCGTTGCTGCTCGAGTTAGGAAATTCGTAAACTCAAGTCGTTGCTGCTCGAGTTAGGAAATTCCCAGTGTTGTCATCTACTGTGGTCGATAACCCATACATACTTTCCAGTTATCTGATCATCCAAAAAACAGGAGGACTACTACACTCTGCTCCGATCTCACAATCTACCCCATAATGAGACCTATCAGATATTCATCTTATTTGGAGCTATGCACCTTTTATATGCCTATACTATCCCAGACTATAACAAAGGGCAATCTGATCCTCACACAGTTCTTGATAAGTAGTATTATTATAGTATACAAATAGCACATAGTACAATTAATACAACTAACATTTAATAATTACTTTTATTAAATTATGCTCTTGAAAGTAACTACACACTTACATATATCATGTACTCATATCTATAGAATTCACATAAACACACATATAGTTGAATATATTACTACTATTTATTCTAAAAAAAATTACAATAGTCAATCGACAAGGTTACAAATTTAATAACAGATTATCAAAATTGACGCCTATATTGTTTTTTTTTAATATTTTAATATAAAATGTAGATTAATTGTTTATATTGAAACATAAATAATACTAATATATACAGAAGACTGTATTTTATATAAAATGTGCATAAAAGAGTACAAAAATCCAGAAAATATGTTTTAAGTTGCTTGTTACACAAAAACATCGATAAAACATAAAACCAAAAAAACTACTCGTCATTGTCGTTGTCGTCTCCATCATTCCCCTCGTCATTATCATTTTGGATGTTTGGTTGGAAAAGAAATCGAAGACTTTCTAAAATTGTTGCTATAAACGTCGTGTTTGAAGAATAACATTAACATGTTCCTATACAATAAGTATATAAGTTAAAACTACAAACTAAGATAAATCAAATTAATAAAGTACCAAACTACCAAATTTATAACAACTGTAATAAGTCCTTCAAAATAAAGTCATAACAAAATTAGCAAAGTATCCTACTACCAAATTCATAACAGATACATTAAGTACTTAACAATTTAGCAAAGTACAAAACTATCAAATTCTTAACAATGCATTAAGTTTAACAATTTAGGAAAGTACCAAACTAATAAATTCATAACAAATGCACTTAGTTCTTAACCAATGCGAAAAGTACCAAACTACCAAATTTATAACAAATGCGGGTGGTGTTTCTTCTTGAACTTAATGTTCTAATTTTGATTCAAAGGAAAGAAAGTGTGTAGTTGAAATAACTCACTCAGAACGCTTTTTAAAGGATTATGTGGTACCAAAACTAGCTGTCACCCCACCGGTAGTAGGAGATGTAAGACTTGGTACATAGAATAACTTTTTATTAATTGATAATCATATAAAGCTGAAGATATTTTATCCATTTGCATCAAGCTCAAACTTCCTTCTTGCATGCGTGCCCCAGCAGAAAAGAGCAGCCGATGGTGGTGGTTTCCGGTGGGGTTGCTTCATCGTTGGCGACAACAAGGATGGCCGGTGGTGATGGTTGTTGGTGGTGCTTTCATCGTCGAGAGTGTGAGTACGTTTTTGTGTTAGCAAATCAGAAAAGAGAAGGGGAAAATGTTTTTCTACTTTCGAGCTATAACGATGACGCCTAGACGCCACTAATGACCTTTAGCGACAACTCATTAATAGCATTAGCACGACAACTTTTAGCGGTTACTCTTTAGCGGCAATTCTGGATTAAATTTGGGGGGGGGGTAACTTTCTCGGGTCTATTTTCATGAGCATTACCAGGGACAAGGATCATAGGTACTGACACCGCCGCTATAGGCGGGTATTGGCGTTGCCACTATATGGTTTTACAAGAACGAGTCTAACTTGTTGGATCTATATATAACACAAATGGATAGGATTGAATCATCCCAAAGCACACTGATTGCTGTTTACGCTTTTTACAAACAATATGGTGGTCCCTTTTAGTAGCAACACCTTGTCGAATAAGCTTGGTGTTGCTGCTTAAGGCGTCTTCCCTATTGCTCTGTTTTCTTTTAGTGCGAGTATGGGTGATGATAAAATATTCAATATCATGCCGGTTATGAAAAATTATTTGAACGCAACCTTATATTAATTATTCGAGTCGCTCCTAAATGTCTAGCCACTAGATTCACTGGATTCAACTTGACTCGTTAACACAGTTATTCGATTATGTGATTCACCGATAAATGACTATGAAATGAGTCTCATACCATATATTGATATAATGGTTGACAAGATTTCGAGTGTTAGTTTTAACAGAGAGATGGACAAGTGAGTTCAAAACAAAATCAAGTTATTTGAGAAAACCACAAATACACATCATCATTTATGAACATATATACCTACAACTTGAACATACATGTTCATGTATAAACTTATGAACATCTGTGTTATGTGATTGGTTTATATAAATTGCTTCTATTTCGAACTCACACTTATTATATAATTAATAATTATCGAGGGCTTAGCTCTGATACAAACTCCTCAACTGCCCCCACATCGTAGTCATCAGACACACCATTTGCATAATCTGAGTCCTCTTCTATCATCCATGAGGACACTGGATTTTTTGGAAGAGGGAGAGTGTTAGACTGAGCAGCAAACATGCCAACAACTTCATCCATTGTGGGTCTGTCAGCTGCATTTGCCTGAACACACAGCAACCCGATGTTGATGAATCTAGATATCAAACTTGAATCAACATCAATTGTAGGATCATTTATATTCAAACAGGTCCCTTCCAACCAATTTGCCCATGCCTACAACAATTCAGCATGTATATACTTACACCAAAAAGGAAAGAAAGAGACGTTTTGATAAAAAATTCTCATTGGGTTTCCTCCATTCCTCACCTCAAGTTAATAATAAAATCCATGCATAATCACATCTTCAATTTTTCTCCGACCATATTGATGGAGTAATTCAGAAATCATATCTTCACTACTCTAAGGAGACTTCGCATCTCCTCAAACTTCAATCTTCCCAATGACTTGGTTAGGACATCAACTTTCTGTTCCTTGCTGCAAACATGTGTGACTGAAATGTCCCCATTCTCAACACATTCTCGGATGAAATGGAACCGGATATCTATGTGCTTGATTCTGCCATGGAAGACTGGGTTCTTCATTAAATCTAGTGAGGATTTGTTATCAACCTTTAGTTCAACAGGTGGTACCTTTTGTCTGGTTATTTCACTGAGCAATCTTCTGAGCCAAATTCCTTGACGGGCTGCCATGGTGGCAGCCATAAATTCTGCTTTACAGGTAGAGAGTGCCACACACCTCTGCTTCTGTGATGCCCATGTGATCAAGTTCTCATTCGCATAGAACGCCATGCCTCCTGTGCTTCTTTGATCATTGACATCATTTGCTAAGTCACTATCCGTGTACCCATTTAGTGTGACATTTTATTTTCCTCTTAAGTACTTCAGATCAAAATTCAATGTGCCCTTTATGTATCTTAAGATACCCTTCACTGCCTGTAGGTGATTCACAGTTGGCTTCTCCATAAATCGACTTACAATTCCCACAGCAAAGGATATGTCTGGCCTGTTATGAGTTAGGTACCTCAGTCCACCAACTATGCTTCGATACTCTGTGGGATTCACCAATTCAGATTCATCTTCTTTCCGAAGTTTGAGCTTGTGTTCCATAGGGGTCTTTGTGGGATTACAATCTTGCATACCTGTTTTGACAAGCAGGTTTTTGGCATAGGATTCTTGTTTGAGTGTAATTCTTTTAATTCACCTAAATTCCCAAGTAGTGAGTCAAGAATCCCAAATCACTCATTTCAAACTTGGTGTTCATGTCTTTTTTGAACATCTGAACACTTTTAGGGCAGCTTCCTGTCACAAGCAGGTCATCAACATACACTCCTATAATTACAAGTTTTCATTTACATAAAATGCCATTCCCCCTGTGCTTCTCCTGTCATTAACATCCTTGGCCAAATCACTATCTGTATAGCCTGAGATAGTGACATGTTCACCTCCTTTAGAATAGACTAGACCATAGTTCAGAGTTCCTTTTACATATCTAAGAATCCCCTTTACAACTTGGAGATGTTTTATGGTGGGCGTCTCAAAAGCAAAGGGTAGTGGCACTTTCATCTTGTGAAGCTGAATTTATTGCTGCCACTATGGCAGCTTGTCAAGGCATATGGCTAAGGAGACTTCTTGCAGAAATCACAGGTCAAAAAGTACCACCTGTGACATTGTTTGTATACAACCAATCAGCACTTGAGCTGATGAAAAACCCTGTATTTCATGGTCGGAGCAAACATATTGACATCAGGTATCATTTTATCAGAGAGTGTGCTGAAAATGGAGAAATCATTGTGACTCATGTGTGTGGGAAAAGCCAGACAGACATTCTCACAAAGTCCCTAGCTAGAGTGAAGCATGAAGAAATAAGGGATTTGATTGCAGTGAAGAAAATTCAGAATTAAGGGGGAAAATGTTAAATTTAATTCAGATTTTTAGTTTTATGCATGTTTTATTAGTTTTAGAATAAATCAAAGTAGCCAGTGAAGTGGTCCCTGGTCTACAGCAACTAGTCAAATTTTGTTTCCTAGTTTTTAGCTAAGTTCTAGTTTAAATTCACAGGAAAATGTACGTTGTTTCTATCCTCTTAGTTTATTTTGTTTTTTTCAGTGAATAAAGAATACTTTGCCTCAATTATCCCCTGTGACATTACTTCTCCAGTGTATTTTCTATATTCACTATGCAGCTTTCTGTAAAACTGTTTATTCCAGTTTTACCCTTCCCTGTCTTTTGTCAATTTTTGTCCCCTGTGCAGTTTCCTTTCCTGTGCTTTGTTTCTTATCTTGGTAATAAAAGTCTTTATTACCCCTGCAAAAGACCAACACATATAACAAAATATGAGAATGAAGACCAAAATACATAGATTGTTACCGTTCATTTTCTTACTTTCACTAAATTTCTTATCAGAAAATAACTAGTAGTCACGTTAAAAGGATTTCCCATGTAACACAAGCAAAATTAATTAACCATGCTACAAATTCTATATATCATCATATACTTACATATTTCACAAAGTTTTCATTGGTCTCAGAAAAGCGCAGGTAGTTTCTTTGACTGCTAACATTTTCTAAAACAAAGAGACCAAAGCCAAAGACATCAGCCTTAGTTGAGAGACAACCTTCTATCATATACTCCGGTGCCATGTATCCCCTGTCATAGGCACAAACTATCTATATACGTTATCAACATTGCAAAATTGAAAGCATAACAGATAAAACAATCAACTTCCAAGATCAATTTATTCCAAACAACTGGATTAATATTTTAACATTAAAGATTCTGTGATTGTATATAAAAAGTTTTCAGTTACAAATCTAAAGAAGAAATAGACAAAAAAGTGTTTGTTGATCGACTGGTTTCAACCCTTGTTATAAAAGAAATGTATCTACATGTGTGCTTTAGATGCCATTAGCTAACACTTTACTAAGACCAAGGGAAAAACATAGATGGAAAAGAGATCTAAAGCATATATTTTTGAAAAATCATGATCTATGGTGGCTCAACGTTGTGATAGCCATAGGCAGTTGTTAAATCCAATAAACTTCTAGACAGAAAACATCTGGAGGGTTTAACAAAGGGGCGTTGATTAATTCAAAATGTGATTTCTCAATGAGTGTATATGTACTTACGTGGTGACGTAAACTGTATCCACAATAACATAATCAGTCTTGTTGATTGCTAAATGTCTTGCAGACCCGAGATATGATAGTCTGTGGTCCAAACTTTCATTGAAAAGAAGGTTCTGAGGTCTGACATCAGCATGTATGACCCGAATGGGAGCGTGATTGTGAAAGTAATTAAGTGCATTAGCAACACGTAGAATTACTTCACAGCGCTTATTCCAGTTCAAATAAGCCTCCATAAGAGGATCTAAAAAACAAAAACAAATAACAAAATGTTCCATGTAAATATATAGCATGTTAGTAATCAATCAAAATGTTCCAAGTAAATAACATGTTACATTTAATTCATTTAAACCTCGTTGTATAATATTCAAAAATGAGGGTTAACATCTATGATTGCTCTCTATTGAACCAAGCATGATACGTACATTAATTTCAGATGCAAATTCTCAACAATATATAAAATGATCCATGTTTGTGAAAACAACAAACTCATAGACTAGGAAGATTGTTTGTAAGGGTAAATAGAGTTGTAATTAGTCAAAGGGTTTTATGTCTTCGAATGTACTGAGTCTTCGTATCTTATGTAATCTATTTTACTAGGGCATTGTAATCAAAGCTTAACGCATAGTCCTTAGTATATTTTTTTGTACGCTTTCCTCTCCTATAAATAGGAGTGTTTACTAGAGTCATAGGGACGAGTCTTTACAGAATTGTCATTTGTACTCTGTAAAACTTGAGAGCGTAATAGAGCTGAAACAAGATCATATTTACATCTGTGTTCAAATCTCACAATCCTACTTTGATCATTAAACTCTGATTCATTTCATACTCGATTCTTTGTTTCATCAATTGGTATCAGAGCAGGAATCATATCTCTGATCTGATTTTCATCTTTTCAAAAGTTTTTAAATCAACTTTTTGGTTTAAGAAATTCCGCACTTTTTGAAAGTGAAAAATTCATTGGATCTAAGTCTGTGATTCGATTCTGCACTTGAATCATTGAATCGAGTGTTCTGCTAGTGATTCTGATTTGAATCATATAGTTTGTTGTCAAATTCTCAAAGTTTCTTAAAAAGTTCTCAAGGATTTATTCCATACATCAATGGCGTCTTTCAATCTTAATTCCATGACTTCATTTTCTCATCTTCTAGGATCATCCACCAAAATTCCTATGCTAATCCCTGAGTATTACGATCAATGGGCTGATCGTATGCATGATTATCTCAACGGATTGGATGAAGAACTGTGGAATTGCATTTATGGCAATCTCAATCCACCAACGAATGTTCAACCAATTGGATCATCTTCTGGAAGTTCCGAAGTTGAGAATCAGTCTGATCGTTTGAAAAAGCTAGAGAAGAGATGCACGAGAGAGCTAAGAGGTGCTTTACCTCCAGTTGTTTACAACTATGTAAGGAGTTGTACAACTGCAAAGGAGATCTGGAACATTCTCAAGGAGAAATTTCAGGGGAGTGAGAAGACAAAAGTTAACTCTGTGAAGCAATGGTTAGTGGAACTGAAGGACTTCAGACAGAAAGATGGTGAAACGATTGAAGTTTACTATGATCGTCTTAATGAATTAATCTATCGATGCAATCGATATGGTATCACCAGATCAGCCATGGAGTTCAATTTAATTTTTGTCATGGGTCTTCGTAAGGAGTGGCGTAGTGTGAGCATGATGGTTAAGAATCAACAGAGCTTTGATATGTCAACTTTGAATGACTTGTACAATCAGCTGAAGTCTCATGAAAGCGAAGTGAACGAAATTGCTGAAGAATCAAAGGCAAGTTTGGGAGGTCCACTAGCTTTGGTTTCGAAGATCTCTAAAAGGGAAGCTGAGAAAGATGTTTCAGAAGAAGACGAAGGGTTCATCATGAATTCAGATGATGAGGCGATTGCTTTCTATTCAAACAATCGTGTGAAAAATTTCTTCAAAAAGCCATTCAATCTGAAGGCAAAGTCATCTGAGATAAAAGGGAATTTTATGAGTAAAAGTGCTGGGGATGAGAAGAAGAAGGAAGAGAAGAAAGATACGAAGTTTGTTGAGGGAAAAACAGAGAAGAAATTAAAGGGAGATGCTGGGATTGATTGTCATTATTGCAATGGGGCTAATCATTTAGCTAATGATTGCATGCTGAGGAAGAAAGATAAGAAAAAGAATAAGACGAAGGATGAAGCGTACTATGTGGAAACATTGGAGGAGGTGTGTGCGAAGGCAAAGAATCTTTCATTAGTTGCTCGTGGTGAACAAGAAGAAGATGGAACTTATCAAATTTGGTCATCTGGATCAGATGATGAGGAGATGCGAAATCCAACCCATGGAGCAATGTTTGCAAAGATGGAAGAAGAATCAGATGAGGAGGCATACAAAGTTAATGGGAGATGCTTCTTATCAAAAGCCGCTGACAAATCTCCGATGACCACGAAGGTACGTAATATTCTTGAATCTTTCAATATTCCAGTACATGCTTATAATTCTGAATTAGTATCTTTCGATGAAACTGTTACTTATTTTGATTCAATTGTGGTATCTGCTAGCAATGAGGCTAAGAAGCTGTCTATGCAGTTGCTAGAGACACAGAAGAAACTAGATTCGAAAATTACTAAGATAGATTGTTTAGAACTTCAAATAACTAATATCATGGTTGATAGGGATAACTTGTCTAGTGAATCTAAACTGTTGTTAGCTCAGAGGAACATTTACTGTAATTCGGCTAAAAGATTGTATGGGAAATTAACTGAACTACATCATTCGTGCGAAATCAGTAAAGAACAACATAGAAAATTGCTGCCATTTTTAGCTTATGAAAGAGCTACGGTAGATAACATTTCGTATGACTGTGAAAAAGAAATAGCTGATTTTAACAAAGTTCCGAATGATAAGTATAGATATGGAATAGTCAAAGTAGATGAATGTCTTGATTCAACTGAATTGGTTAAAATTGTAAATGACACTTTGACTAAGTCTGAACAAATTCACATCTTGAAAAAGACTGAGAATTCAACATCTGATTCTCAATCTAATTTTGCTGATATTGAGGATAATTCTGACAATATTAGTGAAATCAGTGATATTGAGGATGTTGATTGTTCTCAGTTGTCTATTATAAATGTTGCATCATCATTTAAAGGAAAAGAAAAAGGTAAGGATTTGTTGGTTGAGATTGACACTGATCAACCCTCAACTTCGAAAGTTTGTGATGTGGACTTTGTGGAAGTCAGAGACAGCCAAACAGATGATAGTGATGATGAGAAAGAAGAGAAACAAACGAAGAAAAAGGAAGTTACAAAGGAAAAAGAAATTCCTCGTATAGTTGTTGACCAAGTGTATGGAGATACACAAAAGTTCGAAAAAGTGCTGACTGAACAAGGTGCTCATTACCTAGAAGCGAATACGGTGGTTTACCCGATTTTCAAGTGTACTGATGATGTTGTTTTTCCAAACCAAGTCTTCGTAACTACTGGAAATGTTGAAAATATCAAACCCGAATTAAAGAAGTTAGTTGAGGAGGATAATTCAAAAACAACTGATGAAGGCTTTTTCGCAAATCAAAACACAGTTGAAAACAACTTAACAAAGAATTCGTATGTGTTTCAACGACAAAAACCACAAAGCCAATGGGTTGAAAAATCAAAAATTGAAAAAGAGAATACAAAACATGTTGAAAAGGAAAATGAAAAAGTTGTCAAACTAAACTCTAAGGAATTTAAAGATCAAATTGACAAATTTTCGAAGGAAAACAACATTTCAAAACGACAAGCAAGAAAGAAAATATTTTGGCAAAATGTTGAGTCTCAAAAGATGTCTGAATCACAATCAACCAAAAATGTTTTCAAAGCTAAAAATTCCTCTTTTTCAACAAAAACCCAACATTCATCTCAATCAACTCATACAAGGTCTGAAGTGAATAAGCAACCAAAGTTTTCGAAAGTTTCTGACACTAACAAATCAAGAGCATTTTCAAATAAATCTAATTCAAATCAACAAGTCTTTCAAAATCAACATTTTAAATCAACTGTTGATACATCATATGCTCATTCTTTCTAACAAATCCCAAAGTTAATTTTGTTCCTCAAAAGCCAAATTTTCCTAATCATACGAAGAAACAAACACTAAAGGCTTCGCATGAAAAAGGCATAACTTCAAGGAAAAATATAGATCACTGGCTCGAAGGACGAGGAAAAGTTTATCAATCCAACAAATACTCAGAAAAACAAATCAACGAAGCTTATGAAAAGTATGTCAATACTTCTTCGAATGGAAGTTCATCCTCAAAAGATTCGAACATCTCCATCAAAGCTTGGAGACCAGTCACAAAAGCGAAGACAGTTCAGTCACAAACTCAAAATGCGAAGGGTAAAGTCAGTGTACATCCGAAACCAACAAAATCTTATGTTTCGGTTCCTACAAATGATGATGTGGACATTATTGATAGTCTCAAAACTAAAGTTTGTGACTGGGTCAAAAATTCTTCATTTAATTCCATGTTGAAATCTAATTTCCAAGGACCCAAAAAGTCTTGGGTACCTAAATTTTTCCACTGATTGTAGGTACTATGTGACGAGCAATATGATAACAAGTGGTACATTGATAGTGGTTGCTCTCGTCACATGACTGGGAAGAAGGAAAATTTACGAGATTTTCGAAGTCTCAAAAATGCTGGAGTAGTAAAATTTGGGAACAATCAAAAATGTCAAGTTAAAGGATATGGGAAGATCACAAATGGACAATTCACAGTGAATCGTGTTGCATATGTTGAAGGTCTCCAACATAACTTGATAAGTGTTTCTCAACTTGTTGTGGGCACTGGCAATCAAGTTCTCTTTAACGAAGAAGGAAGTATTATTTCGAATGTCAACACAAACGAAGTGTTACTGAAATCCAAAAGGAAAGGTGACATGTTCACTCTGGACATCAATCCTATTGTAGGCAAACCTGCTGTATGCCTTCTTTCGAAAGCCACATCTGATCTAAGCTGGCTATGGCATCGAAGACTTTCACATCTCAACTTTCGAAACATCAATAAACTGGTGGTACAAGATCTGGTAAGAGGTTTACCTGTACTTAAATTTGATAATGATTCTTTATGTGCAGCTTGTGAAGTTGGCAAGCAACATAAACAAGGTCATCCAATTACGATAGATTCGAAAATTGTTGCACCTCTGGAGCTTTTACATATTGATTTGTGTGGTCCTTCGACTGTTTCAACTCTCAACAAGAAACGGTACATTT